TAGGGTTCCTGGCCTTTTGTGCCTCCTCACTTTTGTCTTTGCCAGCTCTGTGTTGTTTATCTAACAAATTTCAACTGTCTGGCAGAATTTGTACAGCACTGGGTTATGCATAGCCTTACATAGAAAGCCGTTGTTGCCAAATGTACTGTTTATATCCCTTGTAACTCCAGGATCAAATGCTTGTGTTCTTCACACCAGGAGCCTTGGGCTCAGGGACAATGGTGCACTGTTTCTGGGAAAGTGCTGGCTGTTAGGGAGAGCCCTGAGCCGGCTCTGTTAGCTGCCTCTCCCAGCATGATTTACACTCTCTGTTTCAATGTGTCCATTTCATTCCCTGCAGGTCCATCATTCATCTCGCCCGAGAAAACAGCCTGGTCCTTCTGGGATTGCACGGCTCTCACAGGCCCCCATTCAGCATGAAACGTTTTTACTCCCCTTTCAAACACAAGTGAGGCCAGGATACTATGCGCTGCCTCTGAGTTGCACCCTGCAGGGCATAAGGGACACACACAAATTGTGCTGTTTTGGGGTTAATCTTCTCCATCAGCAGCGTATCACTCAGACTTCATTAGTTTCAGGCGGTTTGACACTCAGCTCTTAAATATGTTTGGAAATCTTGGCCCAGGAAGCCTAAACTAGTAGAGTCTTTAAAAAGCAGCATTCTTAAGAAATGTACTGTCAGAGGCAGCCCCTCCAGACTAGAACCTCATGTTGTAACCTACTTATGGCTTGGGACAGAAAATTTATTGCAGCTGCTGCTGCTACTGCTGCTGCTGCTGCAAGACTGACCCTCTGTGGAAGTGAAAGCAAAACTTGGAATTTGAAGAAGTGGGATGAAAAGGCTATTGACGCTTTTGAATTTTGCTGTTGGAGAAGACTCCTGAGAATACCATGAAAAGAAACAAATACAAATACCAAGAAAACAAACAAATGAATCATCAGATAAATCAGCCTAGAATTCTTACTTGAGACACCTACGTCTGCATTCAAACTATCCTACTCCGGACACATTACACAAAGATCTCGCTCTCAGGAGAAGTCTACAATACTAGGAAAGGTAAAAGAAAGAGAGGAAGAGGACAACCAGGACAAAGGGATGGACTTAGTTACAGCGGCAATGGATGCACCATTGGAAGACCTGAAGGACCAGGCTGGAGACAGAACATCCTGGAGAAAATCTATCTATGTGGTCGCTAAGAGTCGACACTGACTTGATAGGATGCAGTCAATCAATCAATCATTATAAGAGTAGAAGTGTGTGTCCTGATAATAACCACAAAAAGTCATTTAGAACAACTCTACTTCTTCATTTTTATCTCTTGCTTGTGTAGGTGGGCTGCAAAACTCCAGCTGATCAATGGGTAGCAGCAGCCAGTCAGTATATTTTGCTTCATCTAGTGGTCCTTAGGAAGCTTGCAGCCCAGGTACCATATCCCGGTGCTTAATTGCTCAATTTCTAATTAGGTCAATCATTTTCGTTTTAACTGGCCTTTCTGCTTTGCCTGTAATAATGCCCCTGACAAAACTGAGACATTGTTGGAAGAGTGCGATTTTAGTCTATACTACCCAAAAATCAGAAGAAGTCTAGTAGTACCTTTACAGACTAACACATTTTTTGAAAGGCATAAACTCTGTGCTACCAGACTCTTCCTGGTTTTTTTTTAAATTATCAGCTGGTGCTTTAGCATCACTTGCATACAAAGAGGAGGCTTTATATGCTAAATATTTATAACAAAGTTATGGGGATAGAATTAGCCATATAGACACCAATCCTATACCAAGTCAGAACGTTTCCCAATTTTTTTATCATATGTACTGGAAATCTAACTAATGCTGTACGTGGAGTAGGAAGGGATTTTTCTTAACAGAGATCAGTCACTTTTCCACTGTCTATCAGACATAATGAATTATTAAAGCTGCATTAGGTTTGAGTGTCATAAAAACTCAGATTCACTATCTCAGTCTGCTAGGAAGCTCAGCATCCTTATCAATATGCTAGGCTTGCTTTTGGGGATAACTTCAGATGCTGCAAGTTGAGTTCCTTAGGCTCAAAGGTAGGGTAGAAGGCAAACTGGTAGGTGCTGGCTAATGTTAAGTACAGGAGTGTCCGCAGAGTATGGTTAAAAAAAAAAAAAAGTTAAGATGGTAGTCCATGATAGTATGATCAAAGATCTACACATTTTTACATACAACATAGAGCTTTAATTGCCCTGTTATGCGGACACCCTTCTGTTTAGGTGACGACTTTCCTGGCTTCCCTAGAGCCAGGCATGATATAAAAGTAATCAGTGAGTCAAAGGAGGAGGAGCCAGTTTCTTGTATGGCAAGGAAGATCCCAGAAAGAACAGAAGCAGGAGTTAGAAGGGGAATGAAGTTTTCCACTAGGAAAAATAGACTAAAAATGGTTTCTCTAATGTTCTTATATAAACAAACTTAGGTTTGGTTCTTTAGCTCAATCTTAGTCTCAGGCTTCCTTCTAAAGAACAAAGACATCCTAAGACTCAAGGTCTGCTGCCAAGCAGTGGAAGGACCTGAGAAATCTTACCTGCTCTCAGCCTATTAAAACTGTATTGGGTTCAAAACACAGAAATGCAGGATTTGTTTTCAGGAAGAGATCTGGAGCTCAGCATTAAAGGTACAAGTAAAATCAAATCTTCCTTGATGCAAATTTCACTTCTATACTTTTCTTGGCAGCAGTTTCAAAATAGTTTCTCACTGCCTTCTCCTGGGATTTGTTGTTGTTGTTAATTTTCCAAGCTAGCCTGCAGCCCTATTTCCAGTCGTCTCCCATCCAAACATTGACCTGACAAAACCCAGCCTAGGTTCTGAGCCCATTCAGGGATAGCCAGGTGCTGCTACCTGCTGGAATAAAGTATAATAAGTCTCAGAAAATGGCATCAAACATGCTGATTGCCTCCTTTTGGGCTAATTATTGCATTTCCTAGCTCCAACTTTTCAAGCTCGTATGAGCTTGAGGATGGACATAGTGAAAAACATTGAATTTGCTGCCCTGGTTTACCCTCTCTTATCACAAGTGCTCAACAGCATTTCTATATAGATGCACAAGCTATGTCAGCATAAAGAAGCTCAGGCTGTCTGCTTGCTCATAAGCCAACAGTGATATGCCTTTTAAGTGTGACCACATATACTGTACGTCTCATATAAGTAACGGCAAAAACAGCAGCTCAGAGTCAGATTCTCCCTCTCTGTAACATGTAGGACATGTTCTCAATTCGTTTTAGACACATGTAGCCAATGAAAAATAAATAAGATTTTCCCAGATTACCTAAAAACAATAAAACCAAATGTTTAAAATATTTAGCACTGCAGAAGCACCCCTTTGTTTGTCCCCAAAGGGCTTTATTCTTTGCATGCACTTTTGCTGGAAACTAACACCAATTTGATATCTTCCATCCTCAAACTCTTAAAATTTTGGAGCAAGAAAATCATGCAATTATTATCCCAAGAGAATACAATCAGCAAGCTTGATTAGTTTCAAATGCTGTACTAAGCCATGGTTTGTTTTAGCTGTGATTTATTGAACAAGCCACAGTCAGTTGGGTTCATATATTATGCTAAACCATAAAAAATAATTTAAATGTTTCAATTCACATACATGTTGAGTTCACATAAACCACAATTACTGTATGTATGGGGCTGGCTTATACAACTTGAATTTCATTTTTATTTTATTTTATTTTGCCATTTCTATGCTGGAACTTTTAATCCCATCATTCTGTTTTGGGGAAAAAACAGGTGTCTGGTAGCACTTTTTCTAACTAACAAATTTTAGTGCAAGGCAAAATTAAAACTGACTTCATCAGATGCAGCTCATGAAAGCTTATGTCTTTTAATAAAATTTGTTAGAAAAGATGCTACCAGACTCCCGATTTTTATTTTATTTTATTTTATTTTTTTATTTTATTTGCCACTGTAGATGCTAGTGCAGTGTTTCTCAACCTTGGCAACTTGAAGATGTGTGGACTTCAACTCCCACATCTTCACGCTGGCTGGGGAATTCTGGGAGTTGAAGTCCACACATCTTCAGGTTGCCAAGGTTGAGGAACCCTGCTCTGATGGATAAAAAGGACAACTATTCACACGTCTGTACTGTACCTTCATCTCTCAAGTCCTGTTTGTCAGAGCAGGGTTCCTCAACCTTGGCAACCTGAAGATGTGTGGACTTCAACTCCCACATCTTCACGCTGGCTGGGGAATTCTGGGAGTTGAAGTCCACACATCTTCAGGTTGCCAAGGTTGAGGAACCCTGCTCTGATGGATCTCTTTCTAGACTGTCACTGGGAAAGATCAGTCTCTCAAGGAGCTAAGCTCTCTTCATCTTGCCCATTTGCCTATCTCTGGAAAATTGGGTGGGGAGAGGAAGGGGAGGGGAAGGGGCAGCTGTAGCTGCAAAGCTTGATCAAACAGGACTTGAGAGATGAAGGTACAGTACAGACGTGTGAATAGTTGTCCTTTTTATCCTGAGATCTTTTATGCTAAGTTTTTTTTTTTCACCATGACCCAATGAGGGACATGAAATTGCACAGCACAGCAACAAGGGGAATAAAGTTAGATCTGCTAAAATGTCTCAAGGAAAAAGCAGGGAGTCACCATAGGCTGCTGTTTTTAGTAGCAGCCCTGTTTTTCTCACCCCAAAGAGGATGGCTGTAAATTTAACCAGCCATCCACTATATTAATGGGCAAAAATGATCACAAAATGTCCCTGGCAGCAGTACATTTCCTCCCCTTTCTCCTTGTGCAGCTGCTATAAGCTGGACTTCAGTTTTGTCCTACCATACAGGGGAGAAGCAGCTGGCTAAGTGGAGTATTGCAGTTTAGATGCAGAATCTGTTCCAAAGGTTTCACTTCCCAGAAGTTGTTAAGGGAACAGCCACCATCTCTGCATCAGCAACTGGCACCCCTGTCAACATATATTAAAATTAGCACAAAAATTCTAGACAAGAACTGGAACTCTTGGGAGGCATTTGGAAAGTGCTCACCCTGCCTTTGTTTTCCATTGTAATAGCGATCTGCATTCTTCTCCCTCTGCAGAAAGCAAACCGCTCATCCCTCTCTTCTTCGCTGACATCTGGGGCCTCTCCCGGGTTCACAGGATCCTCAGATCCCCATTTTTCACGGACAACCCGCTTTCCCTGCAAAGGGACGAATGAGAATTACACATACAGTACGTCCCAACAGACAAACGCAAGTTCCATTTCCCACCCCAAGTAATCCACATGAAGTGTGCAGGCTTAGAAAAAGAGCTTGAGTTCGGTGCCAAACAAAAGTAGTCACACTTCCTTTCCGCTTGGAAAGATTCTGATCAAAAGCTCAGTCACAACAAATGAGAAGGAAAAAAAAATCAGTGATAAACTCAAGGTGTTGAAAATAATCCATAACGAACATGTGGTGATGTTCGGGCCTTGTCATTTTGGTGTTCCACTTTTTCTTGCGGGTAATTTGTTTTGGGCTGCTGCCTATCAACAATACATTGGGCAGCTAGAATTTAATATTTGTTACAATATTTTCTAATAGACAAAAATTATATATTGCACAGATGGAAAGGCAGATTTGGGACTTTGTGATCTGCTTTGTTTCACTAAAATTCTGAGGTTCATGAACGTGAGCTGGGTGCCAAAAAAATAGCTTAGGAAAATGGACATGAGGCTGAGAATGGACATGAGGCTATTGAATATAAAGTTTGTTGGATAGTGTTCTAGATTGTGTTGGGCTTATATGTTGGGAAATCAGGTTTAGAACTTGCTGAAATAAGAAGCTTGTTGGGTGAATCCTTCTTAGTAGGAATGCTGAAAAACTAAATGAAAGAATACAGAATGAAACTAAATCTGCTTGCATATCAACTGCATTGGATGGCTTTAGATGTAGAGAGTAAGGAATATGACCTTGACAGAAACTGGCAAGAACCATTACCCAGGCAAAAGGTGTTAAACCATCTTTTAAGTCCAGAACAACAAGACAATGTTCAGACGCAGTTCAGGCAGACCCCTCCCTAATTCACTGGAGCAAAACAAGGGGGAGGAAGTACAGCACAATCAGACTTGCAAGATTCTGTTATTATAGCCAAACTCAATAAAAGTAGTTTTAGCCTTCCTATGGAGTTGATTTCCTGGTCTGGTCTACCTAGTGGGGCTGACACTAGGCAACATATTAACACCGTAATTCTGTGCATGTTTCCTTAGAAACAGGTCTTTCTATGAGCAATAGAACTTACTTCCAGAGAGCTAAATTATCTATAATTTAGATTTATAAAGGTCACCCAGAGTCTGTGCTGACTTGGGTGGTCCTTTTAAATCTAATAAATAAAGTGATTTTATGCTATATGTGATTAATATTTGTATGTGAGTAATATAAAACTACTACAACTGCTTTTATTTGGTGCCTTTGAGTCAGTGTTGACCCCTGGCAACTGCCTGGACAAGTCCCTGCAATTTTCTTGGCAACATTTTGGAAGTGGTTTGCCATTGCTTTCTTCCTAGGGCTGAGCGAGAGTGACTGGCCCAAGGTCACCCAGCTGGCTTTGTGCCTAAGACAGGACTAGAACTCAGGGTCTCCTGGTTTCTAGCCTGGTGCCTTAACCACTGCACCAAATTGGCTCTCTACTACAACTGCTAGCACTTTTTTACCCTTTCTTGTGATATAAGGGAATTAACATGGAGTCTCCCTTCCTTTTATGCCAAGTGAGGTATGTTGAGCAAAGTAATAATGGCTGGTTAAAAGTCACCCAATGAACTCCATGGTTGAGCGAGGATGAATATGGTCGCTTTGGTGTAGTCCTCCTCCTTAAGCACTACTGCTTAAACAAACCATAATGTATAAATCAAATGTCATACGAGGATAGGGAGCCTCCTTTCTAGGTTTGATGAGGTTTGCAGTTATATTTCCACGTGGCCCACAGCCCCCAAGAACCATGCCTTTCTCCATTGGTCCTGCTCGCCATACAGTGTGCTGCCAAGAATTTGGGCAAATAGTGGCGTGAACTGGGAGGAGGATATGAATGGTGTGAACTGGGGACCAAGTGGATAGACACGTATCTATGCCAGTATGCCTTTAGCCCTGATTTAGTTAGTAGACAACCACTGTATTTAGGAATCATGTTGCTGTTATTGTTGATTTTCATTTTATTATTTTTATTGTACAATGCCCAGAGTCACAAGTGACTGGGGCAATTCATAAATGGACTCAATAAATAAATCAGCTTGAGGAGGTTATCAGTCTATTGATGCAGTACATCTATGAATGGGGGGAGATTAAATCCCAGATTATACAGTAGCTACCAAAGAAAGGCAGGCATTGTTAAAGTGTTTATAGCATAATCAAATGTGTTAACATCTTTTCTTGAATTTGTCTGAAACACATATGAAAAAATCTTCAATAGCTGTTTTTGGGGTTTGTTTGTTTGTTTTACTGAATACATAAAATAAGATCTTTGAAGTTAACACAAAATCCAAGAGAACTGGGGAAAAAATAGGGGAAAAAAGTACTACTGAAAAGGTGAGTAGAGTTTTGTTTGTGGGAAAGCAAGCAAGAGATTTTCCCCAGCCCCTTCACTGCAATGGCCTCTCCAAAGATTCAACAGCTGTTTCTTTTTTAGACTCACCTTGCCTTTATTGTCCATGGTAACGGCCAGCTGAACCCGTTTCCCCATTCTGAATGTGAACACGTGATCATTTTCTTCCTCATCTTCCTCACTACCAACTCCAAAACTTGAGGCAGAAGAGCAACTACTTCCCCACTTCTCATTCACAACCCTTTTCTCCTGGAAATGCAAGGGAGGTGGTTACAAAAGTTAGTGGCTGTGTCATTTTTCACATTTTATTTTTCTACCAAAATATGAACATGTCTAAGAAAAATTTACACACAAAAACATTCTCTTTGCCAGTGATATAAACCCTGTAATTTTCAGACTGAAGAACAGTCCCAAATCTGGAAGAAGTAACAAAATGACACCACACATTTACGATTGAAAAGTCAAAGGCTGATGATGCCAAATGGAGTACAATGATGTGGAAATAAATTGAAGTGTAGCATATGTTGAATGGAGTTGTGTAGCCTGTTAAGATGTTTCACAAAACCATTTCAATGTGCTACGTAGTTTGAAAGCCATCCCCTACTAGTGAAGAGCCTAAGGGAGAATTAGTGGAGACACTGTGTGTGTCTTTGCATCTACTCCGCAGGTTTTCTTATAACAGACTATTAGCCTGGGGAAGGAGGTATAAATAATGATCAGGACTGCAGTAGCTCTGGAGATAGTTTAGAATCACAATCTGAAAGTTAGAAGGATCCCCTTAGGCCCTTGAGCCCAATCTCCTGCTCAGGCAGGAACCCAAATGGAAGAGTCCCTGAGAAATGCTGCCCAGCTCCTGTTTGAACACATCTGGAAAGGAAGATCTCATCACCTCATTTAATATTTCGTTCTCCCATTACAGTGCTCTTACTGATAGAGCATTTTTCTTAACATTTAGAAAGCCCCCTTTCTGTAATTTAAGATTACCAAAAAAATGTTACTCTGGGGCTACAGAGTTCACACATGTCCATCTGTGTGATACCCCTTCAGATACTTGTAATGTGTCATCATATTCCTTCTCTGTCATCTTTCTTCGAAGCTAAGCATATCCAGTTATCTCCTTTCCCCTAACCTGGGCCATGTACTTCTGCAGGAGATGAAAAGGGAGAATTGTCTGCTCACATGTATTGCTATTATGTTTTTTAAAATCCTAAGAGACTGGCTTGAAGCTTGCTGCTCTATATGTTTCTCACTACAATTTAGCTGCCACAGCCTGGTGCCCTGTTAGTCGACAAATCCTTCCCTCTATTTAAAAGTAATGTCAAATCATCCTCAACTCCTGATAGCTTCATGTCCACATCCATGTAGTTTTCTTGGCAGCAATATGAGAGAAACTTTCCATTACCTGAATTTTTTTTCCTACTTTCTATCCAAGTACTAACCACCCCTGGCCCTGTTTATCTTCCAAGACCAACATGGTTGTTCAGGTTCTCCAATCTTCTCAGATCAGCTTCTTCCAGCTTGGCTAATATTCAAGCTGGTTAAGTGTGATAGGAATAGCAATCCATTATACACACCAGGCACCAGATTGAGGAAGACTAAAATAATCTAATGCAGCTAAAATCTCCTATGCCTGTAATACTCCAACATTTCTTTTTCAGCAGAAAAGGAAAACTGTGTTTACATGATGTGGTTTGGTGATGGTGATGGTAAGTCCATCTGGCCTAGCTTTCCTTGCAGTGACAGCCATTCCTTCCTGTTCTGCTCGCTTCTTGTCCTCTTCTATTTCCTGAAAAAGCAACATCTCAATCTTTTATCAGGTCAGCTGCCAACAGTAAAACAATATTAGAAGCATAATTAATTGTCTTGGATCAAGGGAGAAAATAAAGAAGCTTTAAGAAATTATACACTCACCTATACAGAGTTGTCGCTGTCATTAAATACACATACACACCGAGGTTTTGCTACTCTATTATCTGAATTGTTTGGATGTAAACCACAAAAAGCTGGATTTGCACAACATGCTCAGCTAAAATGTAGTTAGCTACTTTGTAATTCAGTGTGTTGGTGATCTGGATTTGTGGGCCCCAGGCATGCCATTCTCTATAACATGGCATTTGCATAATTTGTGTGAATGGTGCAACATCTAGCTTGGCCCTGAAACAACACACCTACAGCTATATATTCTGGATCTTCTTCTAATGGAAGTAGTCCAGCAGACTATTGTTAGCTTTCTTTCACACAACTGCTGGCTGACTCCAGCAAAATTCACGATATCAAGACATCAGCAAAAACATATGGAAGTCAGTCTATAAATATCCTTTAGTATGGTGCATTAGTCTAGCTTCATTTTCCCCCATATTGCAATTGGTCGGATACCCTGGACCTCCAGCCCCATTCTCTACCCTGATACTTAGACTCTGCCTTCTACACTGATAGTCTGGCAATACATACTCACTTCTGAACATGCCACAATGATCACCATGGTTGTTTAACATCACCACGGTTGTTAGGCAAACATCACCATGTTTGTTTAACCACTTTGTTGAACAAATTGCAATTGAGTCAGTTCATATAAAACGTTAAACCCAAACCAAAGAGCCCCCACATTATGCTTTAGTATAATCTGTGTGTCTGGATCGTACACTATTCACTTGCAGATTAGCCACTCCAGAATCTGTTCCAAAATCTTTCCAGAAGATAACTTCACAGCAATTAAGAATTAATGTTAAGAGGGATTAGGAGTAGTAGTGGAATCTATGAATTTGTTTGCTTTGATTCCCAAAAATGTGATTCTTATATACTTTTAACATTTTGTCAGTTCTATTGTAAAGAGCTATTTTTTAAAAAAATTAATTTGAAATTCCAGTCCCAGTGGTAACTACACTGCCACCAGCCGTGCTGTAAAGTATTCATGGTAATTAAAGAAAGATACAGCTTTCACATCAACTGCTATAAACTGACTCAAAAGTTTAACTAAAGGATCAGAAACCATACTAGGTCACAACATTATATATGAGAAGCTGTAATTCAAACATACTTGATATCTTCTCATAAGAGCTTCATTCTTCTTCCGCAAAGCTAGAATTTTTTTATCCAGTTCAACGTCTTTCTCTTCTTTTTTCTGCAACACCGCATCATCCACAGCAGCATCCTAATGATACAAAGACAACTCTTTAGTGGATTTCCACATATGGGCAGTAATGCAGAATATTATTTATCTTCCTTGTTATTATAGGAGCAAAGATAGATATATGTCATCCTATTGTGGCTATGCCAATAACAAGTACTTGTTAGTACCTCAGTAATTCATTCTGAACAAAATTAAACAATATTTTTAAAAACAATAATGAAAAAATGCATTTATAAATGTGCATTTATAGAAGAAAGCTTCCATTGCTGTCCCCCATTTTAACTAATGATAGGGCTAACTGTGACAGATTTAGTTCTTTGACAGACCTTGGAAGAAGCTAGTGGTTGATCTAAGGAAGTTGTTATTGTTAGCTCCTGAAGGTGCCCTCAGTGGCCACAGAGCATTATGGAGATTATATAGTTTCCTATCCCAACTTCTTGGGGGCTACTTCAAGAAAAACTGTGGGCTCTGAGGCAGAAATCTTACAGGAGAAGCCAAGCAATGGTGCTAGTGCTAAGCTGGTGCCATCCAGACACTCAGATGTTTCTTTCCCTTCTGGTGTTTAGTAAGGCCATTAAAACACAGTTAATCCATCAGGCCTTGGGGGCTGCAATGCTATGATCGTGTTCCTTCTTATAGTAGAAGTTCTTTTGATTTTTTTTGTCTATATTAGTTATTGTTCCCAGTGCTATTTGTGGATTGTATAATAGTATTGATTTGTTTTCTTTTTATTGTATCGTTTTAACCCAGTTTACAGAGGTTGGGATGTATCCACAAAGAGCTGTTTGCAACTGAAGTAGCCTATAAGCTCTGTAAAATAAATGAATTACAGTAAATAAGAAGATTCTGTTCTTCAGTAAACCATAGTTATGTTTTTTGTTATTTAAATTACAAAGTGCCTCAAACAAATTGGCATCACTGAACAAATAAAATAATTTAAAGTTTTGATAGTGGGAGGCAGACGTTCCAGATTGCTGCTGAGAGCTCTATAAGAAAAGTTTGAGATGAGGCTATATCTGGGTTACTGAAACCTCAATTTTTAAAATTTGCTACAGAGTTTTGAAGGCAAAATTTGAGTTTGTTTTCAAAGAATGGAATCTTTTCAAGACAGTCCACACAAAAGAAGTATCTGTATCAAAAAGTTGATGCAGCTTCTCAAATGCCATGTGTCTTTTGTTGCAGGATAGCATAGTTACAGCTAGGATACCTGTCTGCCTACATTTTAGTACACCATTTTTAAAAAAGATCGTTCCTTTTAGGAATTTTTTTTCTCCAGATACTGTAACCATATCAGGATAAAGTCACAAGTTCCTGAGAGAGATTCCCAATCTGGTGTCAAATATTAAGTCTGAAAAATTGTAGATTCTGAGGCAGAAATATTGTATAATTTTGTATTTTTTTAGATCTCTTATCATAGCCTCTAGTAGAAGAATCACGGTTTCATTTGCATTGGAGGGTGTAACTAATATAGATAGATATCATTTCTCAGACTTTTCAGAAATTGTACACTACCACATATGGAATTAGAGTTTAACATAAATAGCATTTGCAACACCTGCCATTTCAGGATGTATAAAAATGTCAGGATCTTCTTTAGACAAAAGATTTTGCAGTCAGAAATTATAATTCCATTACATCTGAGCTTATTCCACTAGCAATTTGTGGATGGTGATCTTTTTGACAGCTTTGATGGGAAAAGGAACAAAACAAGGGAGTCGAATATATGGCTACAAGAGTCAAAACCAGGTTTAGCACTGCAGCACTGTTAGGAGATATGTTGTCCACAGCACCCTCCGATAATGTCCATAGGATGGAGGGATGGAAGGATAGATAGATATGAAATTTTGCACCACTGCTAAATCATAGGTGGGTTGGTGTCCTAGGCAAATGTCTTGCAAGATTTCAGGGCAAGAATACTAAAGTATTGTGAGATTTTGGATGAAAAGGCTGAAATCTTGCAAGATTTGGCAATCTCATAAAAGTTAATCAATTTTTTAAATGACTGATTGATTTGTTTATTAATTTTTGAGCCCCTATTCCATCATGTAGAAGCACACATCTACACATCTGAAACGGTTATCTAAATGTAAATTCAGTTGCACATTCTAGCAGAAAAGGGTACAGTGAGAGAGATGAGAATATTGAACAGGACAAGGGTCAGATTAAAAAAAAAGAACAGAGGAGGGAAAACCTTCCCAAACCTGAACTTCAGTGGCTATAATAAATGTAAACAAGCAAATAATCTGCAACTTGTGCTCCTCATACATCAGGTGGTCACCAAGTTGGGAACATAATATATTCTGGTGACTTAACAACTGCTAAAAAGAACATCTCTGTGTAAAAATCTGAGCAGTTGGCAGAAAGGGAATAGCTTAAAGGTTGATTTGGAACAGAACAATTTTAGATTTGTCCAAAGAATCAGCTTTAGACTGCTGATCTCCTACTACAGTGAGGGTGCTTCTGTATTTCTAAGGTTGCTTATTAAATCCACCTTATCTCAGAGGAATTGTCTGGTAGTTACCCTAAAGAAATGTTAGAGTGAAGAAATAAACTGGGATAAGAGATGGCTAGTGGATTTATGGAGCCAGGTAGGGTAGGGCCAGGTAGGTATAGGAGCTCCTGATTTACAAAGAGTTGGGGGATATAGCTGGACAATTCTGCAGATTTCATGCCCATATTTTTTATTTAGCTATAAGCCTGGCTCTTAGTAAATTGATACCTAAATAAATGGTGACAGAGTTTCAGCTTAATATGCAAATTTTGTTTCTGCTGAATAATTTTCCCTGCAGGAGAATGAAATATAGGATTCTTTATTATCCTCAATCAAGCTTGCAATGAGAGTGAATTGGTCACTTCTGCAAGCTGATGAATTTTCATGACCATTTTTGTGCAACTGCTTTAAACATGATTTGAATACTACTTGGTCAGATATTTTTTTTAATCTTTTGTATATTCATTATGGGGATGAGCTCCAGGCAATGCATCATGAAGTGGGAAGCTGAATATTATGTATGTACATATGCAGAATGGAATTGAAGCAATGTACATTCTGAAGGATGTTTTTTAATGCTGCATAATGCAAAAATATGAGATGGCCAAGCCACATTCCATAAGAGTGAAAAATATTGTGACTCTGTGTGCAGAGGTAGTTATTAAAGTCATATAGAAAACTGTCTGTTACAAATATAGGAAGGTCTTGGCATTTGTCTACAGTGGGTAGGATGTTCAATTTGCATGCTAATGCAAACTTACCTAATTTGAATTTTCCAAATCTATTCACAACCTTAGATGCAGTTAAAACCTGAAATTGACATTTTCCCCTAAGTTTTGCAATGCAGCTCATAACTGGAAATCTACATGAAATATGTATGTATGTATGTATGTATGTATGTATGTATATGTATATGAATATGACTATGTATATACCAAATATAACAAAAATATGTAGGGAAAAATGTGTATGAAATTCATTATGTTAAGGGAAATCATTTACAAAAGATGTGTATATTAGAAAAGTGCACATTTTAGGAGACATTTATATGAAAATCTATATGAATTGCCATGAAGGCTTTTAAAAAAAAATCTTATAATGTTATACAAAAAAGGAATGGAACAAGAAACTGAGCAAAATTAAACCTCTGACATTTTCCTATCTCTAATAGTGACTGAGAGCCAGTTTGGTGTAGTGGTAAAAGCACCAGGCTAGATATTGGGAGATTGGGAGTTCTAATCCCACTTTAGGCACAAAGCCAGCTGGGTGACCTTGGGCCAGTCACTCTCTCTCAGCCCTAGGAAGGAGGCAATGGCAAACC